TGGGTATCGCTACGTCCAGACACTGTCCACATCATTAGTGATGAAACACGCTGAGATACAGCTGGGAATGTTCATAAACTTCTTTCATGAATTGTACAATGAAGTATACCTTATCATTTTCTGCTCGAGTTGCGACCCAATCATATGTTTGTTTCGGTCAGTGATATGACGGACAAGCTGTTCAAAGAGGCGATTAACACCAACTTACCCACACACTTAATTCGTGCAAACAACACATACAGTCTAGATCTGGTGCGCAGCGATGGTAAATATATCCAAGCGTTAGGTGTCAATTTGTATTTTCCCATTGAAATGAAAAACAACTTCTGAATCAAAAATAGAGTTGAGTATTTCAGTCGCCAAATGAGAGGATTTGGGCAACCTTGATCCAAACAGTTTTGAAAATAGACTCTCCAGGGCGTCAACCGTGTTTTTAGTATGGGTGGAGAGAAGTGTTCAGTCAGCCAATCAATACTTTATTCAGTATGAAGGCCATTGGCCCATATATACAAATAAAAGTTTACAAGAATGGTAGAGGCAAAATACATAATATAAAACATTGTTTATCAAATACTTTCTTTTTTCATAATTATGCATGATAAATAAACAGGCATAGACAGTGTCTCCAGGATCAGTTTTCGGGGATCAGTTCTCGAGCTTATGTATCGTTTGTGGAAATTATCTGTTTAAATGTATGCATATTTACATAAGTTATACATGTCTTTGGTAGATATTTAATTCTAATGGCATCAAAGTGGCACATACAAGTCGAAAATTATATTCGTCCTCTATACCTCGATCATATAAAGGACAGTTTCTCATGCATGTATCGATTTTTTGCCACCTAATTCATCATTTCTTTACCGTAATAGTCCCCCTTTTGACTTCACTAAAGTATTTCGAAGCTTTAATTCACTTATTGCATAATATACTTTTCTGGTTCAAACTTTAATATTCTCTATAAATGTTATATCTTTAACTGTTACTAATAGTAGATATTCAATTTTGATGAAACGTAATAATAGCACAATACTTCAACATACGTAAGCATGTCCAATTATAATTATCTCCAACTGTTTGTGACAGCCAAACAAAACCCAAACCATGGGAATATAGTAGATATCTAACATTCAAAGCCCAAATGTTATACCCTACATTATCTAAATGAAGTAACATGATGTACGCTTTTAGGGGAGGCGGTCCTCATGCATTGATAATATGTTACACCAGTATCCAACGCTATACATTGGATATTGGCCATATTCATTAGGTGTTTGAAGTCCTGTTTGTAATAAGTTCTTACAAGCCAGTATGTTGACTGTATTCAATTTAGGCTCGGATTGTTAGATCTCGTGATAAATGAAGGAAGAAAAATGTCCACTGAAAAGTCGAAGAGGCTGTGCTCATTATGTCATTCAGTTATAGAAAATGAAATTCATTTTACTTTTGTCTGTCCTTATTATTGTGACCCAAGATGAAAGTTTATACCAGAACGCTATCTGTCAAATTATCATGTACCTGCTTTTCTTTCTCTTCTTTCTTCAAAAGATGATGCTGTCATATTAAAACTGGCTATATATGTTAACAAATTGTTAAACATGAGTATATATCCAAATATGTAAACTACTTATTTGTAATTTTCTTGTATATGGGCCGGAGGCCTTACATGCAATAAATATCTTTGACTTTGACTCTTGACTGTAGTGTCATGATTACTGCTTGTTCTTGTTTACCAGCATCTTATCTGTGTTCTTGGTTTCTCTGTAGTGGAAACTCTCTACGAGCTGCAATATTTCGGGCTTTTCTCCCATATGAGGCTGAAATATATCTGAAAAATTGTTCACAACTGCCTTAGCCTCATTTCACTCTCCTGTGAAGATACGGGTAAGAATTGGTATTCACCAACCCATGCTTGTCGTAAGAGGCGTCTATGCCTGTCGTAAAAGGCTACAGTGCTTGTCGTAGGAGGTGACCAACGGAATTGGGTGGTCAGACTCGTTGACTTGGTTCATGCATGTCATCGTATCCCTATTGCGTTGATCGATGCTCATGAAGTCAATCATATGATTGTCTGGTCCATTATTTACAGACAGCCGTCACACATGTAGAGCTGGAATATTGCTGAGTGGCCGTTTAACAACACACAAACACTCGCAAACTTTTCTGAATGCAGGCATTTACATGAGAAAGCATGAGGCACGTTGAGGTAGATACGGTATTTTACCGCCGCTTCGAAGTTAATCGCCATTTTGTGGCTCTGGTCGACAAGGCTGATGAACACAGAAATACACAGTGTGTCTGGGAGATCATTTCTCCAGACAGTGTGTCTAGGGCATCAGTTCACGAGTCAGTGTGTCTGGGGGATCATTTCTCCAGACAATGTGTCTAGGGCATCAGTTCACGAGTCAGTGTGTCTAGGAGATCATTTCTCCAGACAATGTGTCTAGGGCATCAGTTCACGAGTCAGTGTGTCTGGGGGATCATTTCTCCAGACAGTGTGTCTAGGGCATCAGTTCTCCAGACAGTGTGTCTGGGGGATCATTTCTCCAGACAATGTGTCTAGGGCATCAGTTCACGAGTCAGTGTGTCTAGGAGATCATTTCTCCAGACAATGTGTCTAGGGCATCAGTTCACGAGTCAGTGTGTCTGGGGGATCATTTCTCCAGACAGTGTGTCTAGGGCATCAGTTCTCCAGACAGTGTGTCTAGGAGATCATTTCTCCAGACAGTGTGTCTAGGGCATCAGTTCACGAGTCAGTGTGTCTGGGGGATCATTTCTCCAGACAGTGTGTCTAGGGCATCAGTTCTCCAGACAGTGTGTCTAGGAGATCATTTTCCAGACAGTGTGTCTAGGGCATCAGTTCTCCAGACAGTGTGTCTGGGAGATCATTTCTCCAGACAGTGTGTCTAGGGCATCAGTTCTCCAGACTGTGTCGGGGGATCATTTCTCCAGACAGTGTGTCTAGGGCACCAGTTCTCCAGACAGTGTGTCTGGGAGATCATTTCTCCAGACAGTGTGTCTAGGGCACCAGTTCTCCAGACAGTGTGTCTAGGGCATCAGTTCTCCAGACAGTGTGTATAGGGGATCAGTTCTCCAGACAGTGTGTCTAGGGCATCAGTTCTCCAGACAGTGTGTCTGGGGGATCATTTCTCCAGACAGTGTGTCTAGGGCATCATTTCTCCAGACAGTGTGTCTGGGAGATCATTTCTCCAGACAGTGTGTCTAGGGCACCAGTTCTCCAGACAGTGTGTCTGGGGCATCAGTTCACGAGTCAGTGCGTCTAATGGGTCAAGAGTCGAGTTGTTCTGTCAGTGTGTCATGTTGATCAGCTACCGAGCCAGTGTCTCCAGTGGATCTGATACAATTGTCGAGTTGTTGAGTAAGTGTGTCTACGGCATCAGATCACGAGACAGTGTCTCCAGCAGATAAGTTTTCAGGGATCAGTTCTTGAGGCAATGTGTGTCTAGTGGATCTGTTTCAATTGTCGATTTGCAGTGTCAGTGTGTTTAGTGGATCATTTTCCGAGTCAGTATGTTTTGTGGAGTAGTCCTTGAGTCAATGTGTCCAGGGGTCATTTGTTGCGTCAGTGTGTGAGGTGGATCACGTGTAGAATATATTTTGAGTCAGTGTGTCTTGTGGATCTATCTCAAGTCCGTTGTGTCTAGTAGATTGGCTAAGTTTGTCTAAAGGATCAGAGTCAGTGTGTGAGGTGGATCACGTGTAGAATATATTTTGAGTCAGTGTGTCTTGTGGATCTATCTCAAGTCCGTTGTGTCTAGTAGATGGGTTAAGTGTGTCTAAAGAGTCAGAGTCAGTGTGTCCAAAGGGCCTGTTGTAGAGGTAGTGTGTCTAGTGAATCGGTTTAGTGTGTCTAAAGGATCAGAGTCAGTGTGTCTAAAGGATCTGTTGTAGAGGTAGTGTGTCTTGTGAATCGGTTAAGTGTGTCTAAAGAGTCAGAGTCAGTGTGTCCAAAGGGCCTGTTGTAGAGGTAGTGTGTCTAGTGAATCGGTTTAGTGTGTCTAAAGGATCAGAGTCAGTGTGTCTAAAGGATCTGTTGTAGAGGTAGTGTGTCTAGTGAATCGGTTAAGTGTGTCTAAAGGATCAGAGTCAGTGTGTCTAAAGGATCTGTTGTAGAGGTAGTGTGTCTAGTGAATCGGTTAAGTGTGTCTAAAGGATCAAAGTCAGTGTGTCTAAAGGATCTGTTGTAGAGGTAGTGTGTCTAGTGAATCGGTTAAGTGTGTCTAAAGGATCAGAGTCAGTGTGTCTAAAGGATCTGTTGTAGAGGTAGTGTGTCTAGTGAATCGGTTAAGCGTGTCTAAAGGATCAGAGTCAGTGTGTCTAAAGGATCTGTTGTAGAGGTAGTGTGTCTAGTGAATCGGTTAAGTGTGTCTAAAGGATCAAAGTCAGTGTGTCTAAAGGATCTGTTGTAGAGGTAGTGTGTCTAGTGAATCGGTTAAGTGTGTCTAAAGGATCAGAGTCAGTGTGTCTAAAGGATCTGTTGTAGAGGTAGTGTGTCTAGTGAATCGGTTAAGTGTGTCTAAAGGATCAGAGTCAGTGTGTCTAAAGGATCTGTTGTAGAGGTAGTGTGTCTAGTGAATCGGTTAACGGTGTCTAAAGGATCAGAGTCAGTGTGTCTAAAGGATCTGTTGTAGAGGTAGTGTGTCTAGTGAATCGGTTAAGCGTGTCTAAAGGATCAGAGTCAGGGTGTAAAGGATCAGTTGTAGAGGTTGTGTGTCTAGTGGATCGGTTAACGAGCCAGTGTGTCTAAAGGATCAGTTATCGACCTTCTGCGTATGGAGGATCAATTAACGACTCACTGTGTCTAAAGGATTAGTTGTAGAGTCAGTGTGTCATGTGGATCACGCGTCGAGTTGTTCGGTGTGTCTTAGGGTCAGTGTCTAGTGGATCAGCTGTAGTGGTGTAGTGGATCAGCTGTAGAGTTAGAATGTCTAGAGGAGCAGCTGTAGTGGTGTAGTGGATCAGCTGTAGAGTTAGAGTGTCTAGTGGATCATACGTCGAGTTGTTCGGTGTGTCTTAGGGTCAGTGTCTAGTGGATCAGCTGTAGTGGTGTAGTGGATCAGCTGTAGAGTTAGAGTGTCTAGTGGATCAGCTGTAGTTGTGTAGTGGATCAGCTGTAGAGTTAGAGGGTCTAGTGGATCAGCTGTAGTGATGTAGTGGGTCAGCTGTAGAGTTAGAGTGTCTAGTGGATCACCTGTATTGGTGTAGTTGATCAGCTGTAGAGTTAGAGTGTCTAGTGGATCACACGTCGAGTTGTTCGGTGTGTCTTAGCGCCAGTGACTTGTGGATCACCTGTATTGGTGTAGTGGGTCAGCTGTAGGGTTAGAGTGTCTAGTGGATCAGCTGTAGTGGTGTAGTGGATCAGCTGTAGAGTTAGAGTGTCTAGTGGATCAGCTGTAGTGGTGTAGTGGATCACCTGTATTGGTGTAGTGGGTCAGCTGTAGGGTTCGTGTGTCTAATGGATCAGATGTAGAGTCAGCGTGTCTAGTGGATCAGATGTTGTGTCAATGTGTCTATAGCTAATGGTTCAGTTGTATGTAAAGTCAGTGTATCTTGTGTTGTTGTTGTTGTTTGTTGTTTAACGCCGCACTCAGCAATATTCCCAGCTATATGACGGCGATCTGTAGATAATCGAGTCTGGACCAGACAATCCAGTGATTAACCCCGATGACAGCCATATCAATCACCCCAGTGTGTACCTTATCGATTCTGGACAAGACAAACCGAGGCTGTGTGAGCTGACATATACGCCACTAGAGTAATGGCACATATCAGTTCAGGCGACAGCTAATTCAGTATCGCTTATGACCCGTGAAGATCCGGGGTAGACTAAGTCTTCGGCAACCCATGCGTGCCGTAAAAGGCGACGATGCTTGTCGTAAGAGGCGACTAACGGGATCGGGTGGTCAGACTCGCTGACTTGGTTGATGCATGTCATCGTATCCTAATTGGAGGATCGATGCTCATGATATCAAGCATTGGATTGTCTGGTCCAGACTTGATTATTTACAGACCGCCGTTATATAGCTGGGATATTGCTGAGTGCGACGTTAAACAGCAAACCAACAGTATCACTTATCCAAATATGTCATGTTCGGCTCGTCGCAAGTCATCTCGGCAAAGACGAGGAATTCATGTTTGAACTAGTTTCGTTCATGTGACTATTATAAGACATAACACAACCTTGCGGCAATGGAGACCATAATAAGAATGTTAAATCTCTTTGTTTAGTTCATGCTTAATTGGGGCACAGATGACCCGGTCTTTATAAAGAGCTGTACAGAGTTGCGTCCCTTGGGCACGCCAGAAACTTATGATTGTGGGTTCGAATCCCGGTTCGCCCCGATTATGTTTCTAGGGTTGTCAGCCCCATACCCGTGCTCGTTGGTTTCACCAAAGTGGTACACGTCTGAGACCTGCATCACTTCGGGCTTTCCTTCCACGTATCCCGTGCGGTGTTAAACTCACTCTCTCATGTTAAATGTATACCTTTTGATTTGCTGAGGACAAAATAACTTGTCTTCAAAATCGGCAGTAAAGGAACAAGGCGATGCACGGTGGAAAACGGTGACATGTATTCCATTAACGAGGTATGATGTAGTTTATCCGAGTGGACCTGAGTTCTGTAAAAGACTAACAACACAAAGACAATGGGTGCCATCTATTTTAATTATATAATACCGTTCAGGTCTCAACCTTCTGAATCATTTGATGAAGGACATGACACCATTCATTATTGCTTTCTTGGGTAAAACGAATTTCCATTTTGACAGCAAATGAATTTCCTTCGTTGTAACGACACCCCTTTCGGGTACGTGCCCGTCTGCGGACCTCATACATAGTCATACGTCACGTGGTTAATTGTCAACTCAAAATGCAGCAAAATTCATTTTAATGTACAAACAAGACTTACAGTTGCATATACTGTATTGGTTGGGACATATCACAGATGTGTCGGACGGAGTAGGTTGTTTGGGAACAGTCATCTATATTGAAACGAGGCTACATATCACCAAACATTACGATGGGTTCAGGTAACGGCCATGTACAGATATACAACGGTCATATCTTTGTTGAACAACTACGTGGACAAGTTTGTGTAGTGTCATGGAAAAAGTAAACAAATATTAGGGATGGTCTCAAACAGGATATAACGGGGACGGTAGTATTTGTTTGAATGAATTCACCGCCTACACACCAACACACCCACTATACACGATAGGCATAGCATTCATCACATTCACATACGTACCGTGACGATCCGGGTTACAATAGGTTTTCAGAAACCCATGCTTGTCATAAGAGGCGACTATACTCGTCGTAAGAGGCGACTAACGGGATCGGGTAGTCAGGCTCTCTGACGTTGTTGATGCATGTCATCGTATCCCAAATGCGTGGATCGATGCTCACAATATCAATCACTGGGTTGTTTGGTCCAGACTCGATTATTTACAGCTGGGATATTGCTTACATGCTGTGTTCAACAACAAACAAACAAACATTAACACACACATACACAAGGTCACTCGTAACACTCCAATTGTACACAATTGTCCTTTCATACCCGTATTCTATGAGTTGTAGGACCATTACTAGTACCAGTATGTAACAACCACAGTTTAGACAAAACGAAACTATAAGTCTGGATACATTAGAAACCCTGATACATTAATAGACAGTCCCTTCTAATCACATCTTTCAGCACTTCCAGCAATAGTATTGTCAATGGGTAACCGCGTGTCATAACGGACTGGTATACGTTCAATGATGACACTGAATATTCCTTAGCCTTATCACATCTTTCAGTCTTTCTGGCAGAGGTAGACTACCCACTGTGTTTAAGAGACGTGTACCCAGTATGTGTCTCATCCTGAAGCAGCAGAGGTCCTGAAGAGTTCTCGCATTGGACGCGATGTGTCTCATGTGCCTGATGGCCATGTTTCCTGGAGTCAACATAACATCCTCATCTGTTGTCACAGTCTCAGCTCCAGTGTTGTAGCCAGCGTTGAGAAGAAGACAGATAATATCCCACAGTTTCAAGTCGGCTGCGAGTTGTAGAAGTGTTTGACCGTCACAGTTGGTGACACTCAAGGGTAGATTTATGTCAACAAGAGCATGATGAGTAATGGCGTAAGACCTGCTACGTATAGCCCCGTGGAGAATGCCATTGCCGAGCCGGTCTCTCACATTGGTATCCGCTCCTCTGGTAATGAGGTATTCCATTACATCCAACATGCAGTGCGAGGTAGCCTCAAGGATTGGGCTGTTCCCAAAGTTATTCACAGCGTTAATATGAGCTCCTTTGTCCAACAGCAACATACAGATATCCACACATCCCAACCTGGCTGCGAGATGTAGCGGGGTGTTGTCACTGTTGTCACGGACGTCCACATTAGGGTTTAACGTCAGCAGGTACTCGCAAACGCCAGCGTTCTTGCTGTGTACTGCAGTGTGGATGAGAGAAGCTCTGTTGAAACTGTTCACAGCATATGCTGAAGCACCGGCTTCAATGAGAAATCTTGTGATACTCAGATGTCCCTTGACGACAGCCATGTAAAGCGGTGTCCTGTTGTAAGCATCCCCTTGTCGTACATCCACTCCATCATCCTCGACTAGCGACTTCACGACGGTGAGGTGGCCTCCTGTACATGCCACGTGTAGTGGTGAAAGCGCAAGCCCACGTGTAAAGTCACCAGGACAGTTCACACGTGGTGAACAGCCCATAGATATGAGAGAATTCATCTCTTCAGATGACCCGTACTCAGCTGCTAGACACACAAGAAAGTCACATTTAGTGCCACCCTGGTCAGTGGTCAGTGGTCAGTCCGCAGTGCAACTAGCCGCTTCTCCTGTCCCTTCAGTAAGCAGGATTCGTGGAATGGACACTTTCTACCAATGAAGTCAGTTCGTTGCAGTTATCTCCCACTGCTTTGTATCGGCTGATTGGCAGTTCTGCCGCTGCAATTGAACAGTAATAATTTCAGCATGACTATTTACCTCCAACGCTCGGGATATGTCGCTACAAGCTGTCATATTTCCTTTGTTATATCACTTCTCGACTTGGTACACTTGGGACATGCAATTGTGGCTATCACAACAAGCCACAATAAACCCTGTAACGGAACAATATTAGGTACAGTTGCACAGACATGTTTCATATTGTTTGCTCGATCAGGGCTACGTGTATCTCCTTATCAGCCCCAAACGCCAATCAATGCCATCCATGTGTCATAAGCCTGTACGACTATACAATAGCTTGAATAGTATTGCAATTCACTTTCATGTGTGTATGAATGGCGAATGTGTACATGGGAGATAACTCCATCGACCTAACAACTGCGCACAGAAGATTCCAATAACAATTACAGGCCTGCATTCAGCGAATTCAGAAAAGACATTCTAAGTCAAGCACGACTGCGGCTATTGTTCATTTGAAATAAGGTTGACATATATCCTTCTTGCATGTGGATCATGAAATCAGTTCTTGTTGGAGAGTCTTAACGCTCAATATAAGGACTCTATTAAAGATTGCTTGTGTTTTCCACATCATCAACTTCTTCATGAGCTTAGCATTAAAACTTGCTATTGTTACACAGTGCGTATGGGCACATGGCTGGGGATAACTACGCCCTTGATTATGCTGTTAATGAACTGGGGATTAAGTATCATTGATTTGGGTTTATTAATGCCTATGCAGCGTAAGGGAAATAATGAGTTCTTGGACACGAGTGTCAATGTGTCATTTCAGCATGACTCTGGAACATGCTCTCCCGTGTGACTCCAGCTGAGAATTATTATAGGTCCCCAGCAACCTATGCTTGTCGTTCGAGGCGGCATAATTGATCGAGTGGTCAGGCTCGGTGATAATTGCATATCAGTGTATCCAGGTAGTTTGGTTCGTTGCTCATAATATCAATCACTGGTGTGTAAGGTTCAGACTCGATTATATACAGGCCGACGTCATATTGCTGGAATGTAGTGCCACCTTATACAACAAGCAAACAAATAAACGAACAACACATCCGCGAGTGTGATGGGGCGATTCCGTGCCACACTAAGGTTTATAGTTTTTGGCATAACAATGTACTCGCAGACCTCGAATATGTTTCTGAACTTTAAACTGAGTCTTGTTGAAATTATAGTTTTTGTAGTTCATGTTATGTAATAAGCTTCAAATATAAGATCATGTGTGGAAATTTGCACAAATAAACAATATGACTGCAAGAATACGTTTAGAATATGGTAAATGTGGGTATAAAACAAGTGAAGCAAGACCTATGTGAAAGTAATCACTAGGTGTGATCTGATATACGCTTAGACACACCCTGCAGCAATACACCCGGGGCCAAAGGGAATCGGGTCTCTAAGCCCAAACAATATTCCATTATCAGGGCGTATTATATTCTGAATCCGGTTTGTCAGCACGGTGTTGTATGTTGGAGAACTGATTTACCTATGTTTGGTGAGAGAGGGAGTGAGTGAGTGTGGTTTTACGCCGCTTCCAGCACTATTCCAGCATTATCACGGCGGGGGACACCAGAAATGGGCTTCACACAATGTTTGTTTCACAGCGTGAACCAGCAGTATATAATGTAAGTGATGTTTACCCCGTGTGAACCAACGATAACCATACCGACAATCCAATGACAATAGCCATCACCAATCAGAGATCCGAACCCATGATTATAGAATTGAGGCACGCCTAAGGGATGGAACTCTTCACCGTTAATTAAGGCGCCTTAGAAGTCCAGGCCAAGTATCAGCCTCAGTACAACCACGGACTGTCCTACCATCACCACTTGATTACTTGTAATGTCAGGAGCGGAGTGAGACAAGACAAGATTAGTATTACTGCATAAATACATCGCGGGTCGGGTGGAGACAAAAATTGCTAAGTGGGGATATTTCACGGATGTGTATCAATCTGCAAGGTTTTCCTCAGAGCTATGATTCTGTTGAAGTCTGGGTTCGTGGGGGATGATATAGCAAGCTGTTTATGTTGCATGATATGATAGCATAAACCAGGTTTAATTGCCTAGTTATTAGTGCTTGCTTATATGTCATATTCATACTTTGAACGGTGTGCATTGTGTATACCGACGGCCCGCGTGTAAGGAGACAGCAAGCAGTGTTGTAGCATCAGTTATTAAGAAATCAAGGGCAAGTTCTTCTTCAATGCATATGGGATACCCGTGCAGAATATGTTCCGAGAATCACACATAGTTAAAATGTGTGACCAGGCCGATTTTTTATCGACGTACTCATCTCATATCATGGCTCATGTTTTCATGTTGCCAAAAATTCAAACAGGAAGTGATCTCAATACAAGGGGGACAACTCTTTCTGCCCTGACGGAGGTGTTATGTTGACACTCTGCTGAATTATCTGCACCCTTTTTGCTGAGTGAACCGTTTATCTACGATTTACACTCATGTATGTTGAGTTACTGTTACGTGTAGTTTTCATCAACAAGGTTATATGGAAGAAGACGACATCTGAATCAGTTTGAAAGTGATAGTGAGGTGTGTTTAACGCCGCTTTGAAAAGTATATGAGTTATATCTGCTTGGTATGCAGACCTGAAACGTTTACTACTTATGCATGTAGAGTTGATAAACCAACAATCATCAAAGCGAATTGGGTATTGGAATCTCTGTCATACGTCTCTGGTACTCCTCAGGGACGCAGCTCTGCACAATGAATTGCTGGACTTACACGAGTTAGGGACAAAGCTTTCCAGGTTAGAGAGATGAGTCATCATTAGGTGTGCATAGCATGCGTGGCAGTATGTAATCCATTGTCATTAAACACAACAAAACCAGATCATCTCTTCATCTCTTTAATACAGTTACCAAAAGAGAGCGATCAGGAATATCACTGACATCATGTTGTATTACAATATCTTACATTCTTAAACTTTCACAAATTGGAAATAATGTGTCTTCATCTACCCAGTTTCATAGTGGCTACCTGTATTCAGCATATGTGCAACTTACCGTGTATGGATGCTGTAATGTTACGTAGTGTAACAAATAGAAAGATATTATTTCACCCCACTAACAAAACTGGCGTTGGAAAGATCATTGATTTCATGTCATGAAACCACCACTGTTAACCAAAATTTACCAGCCAACAAATGTTACCGCACTTAAGTATGTAGAATAATTTTACGATCAAGCCCATACATAAATATATATATAAACAATTTGAACCTTTAATTTATTTGGCTTGGTTAATTCATTATCGGTATATTTAACCGTTGGAGGCGCATAACGTATTTAATTCTACACTTATCTACAATGTCTTTTCTGATCCCTCTGAGATGTCCAATACCAAGTTTATTCTAATGAATAGTACACGAAACACTGTTGCAGTAACGAGGACTAGATTAATCACAAAAGCCCATGTTCAACATACAGACAATGGTACTCAGAAACCCTGATTCAGCTGTATCGCCAGAACGACTTCATGCTCATGTACTGGTAATTGTTTTGGCATAATACCCTATACAATCAATCATTCTCACTTTCTTAACGCACCTTGTCAAATAATTCATTATTCAGTGTTTCTAAAACAAATCAGAAAAAAATATTATTCAAACACTGGATAAATATGCAATAAATGTAAACATAATCTGACTTGATTTAAATTGAGTGAAAACAAAATGCGAGAATATATTCATTTTTTTTTTAAATTACTCATTCCAGCTTTGCCTGTACACAGTAACCTATTCGAAACAGGGAGTCATATATCTGTAGGAATACCTTCAGTTCCATCTACCAAAAGCAAACAATATTGTGTCACAAAATAGATATATTCATGTTAAGGTGTGAGTTATATTAAACTTAAAAGTATTTGTTACAACAGTTTTAATTCTCAATACACTGTATTGTAATATCTTCGTGTTTTGCACAAACATATAAAACGTAGCGATGAATGGTGATCACAGATATTCATAGCTTCGTTCAAGGTACTCAAGTAGATAAGTGTATAGAAATATGGAAAAAAAAGGCTCAAAGAGTCATATTGTGTCCCATTCAGACATCTACAACGAGATCATTGGGTAAACACAGACACAAATGATAAAGAAGTCACATGAAATGCCAGTCTTCTTCAAACCTCTCCCCAATCACTCCTCGGACGTGTGTTGCAGTTGCCAACATGGCAGCTGATACAAAAGAATCAGCGTGACTTCTCATGGACGAGACTAAAGGCCATGCTGCAGTCTCGCTCGAGTCTATTCTGCAACCGTTATTGCGTGTCTGGCTGAAGGTCCAACAACTGAAAGACAAGACGCGAAATGCCGGGTGCATGCACCTACTTGTAGGTGCTCCGGGACGTTGGGTAGCCATAGCCAGATGAGGAATGAAACGTAGACTCCACCTTAGCACCAATATCACCGAAGTTGTTAATTCTGGACGAGAGAATAGATTCATCTCTGGCGTTGAAGGAAAAGGTCGTCATAATTCCGTCGTCAACCTCCCTGATCTTGATCGGGGGTTGTGCCCTGTACTCGCGGTACTGTTGGTGTATGCTGAACATTTCCTCAATACTACTCTCTTCCTTGGCTTGTTTCAGAGTAGATGAATGGTCCAGAAGAGCTTTCCGCCTTGACGAAAGCTTTTCAGCTTTCTCATCCAACTTCTTCTTTTCCTTATTTACTTCATTCTCTGCGATGCTTTCCATCTCTCGCTCGCGCTCTGCTAGCTGCTGCTTCAAACGACCGAATGTGTCATGGATGTTCTTGAGTAGATCTGTTCTCACGCCTTCCAACTTCTTTGTAGCAGTGTCAAGCGTCTCCTGCTTCTTCCCCAACACGCCGGCCTCAGTATCCATCTCTTTGATAGCTGTATCTAGAACTGGAGTGTATTTCTCAAGCGCTTCATTTAAGTCCATAACAAGATGACCATCTTGTTCTTTGTGATCTAACACGGTGCAATCACGACACACAGGCTGGATACAGGGTTCACAGAAGAAGTTCAAAGCTTGTAGCTTGTGTTTGGAACAGAAGCTAACAGTGTATCTCTCGGTATGTTGAACAAAATCTAACAACTGGACCACTCTGTGATCTGTAGGCAATGTCCGGACGTTCTCCTCAGTGGTAATAAAGTTACCTCTGCAGGTCGGGCAGTGTAGACTGACTGCTGTGGGCATGCCCCTCAACGAGGGGGTGAGACTTTGACGATACTCCACCTCAGTTTGGAATAGTGATTTGATACACGGTAGACAGAAAGAGTGGTGACAAGGGAGAAGTTTAGGGGGCTTTAAAGGGTTCGTGAAGGAATCACGACAGACAGCACAGACTAGAAAGGTCTTCTCAAAGCTTTCCTCATCCAAAACCAAAGACCGTTTGTTCAAGGTGCGCTGTGAATCATACTGGACACCCTTATTACGGAGCGTGACACCTGAAAGGATAAAGTCAATTGTTAAAAATCATCAAAAAATTACATATCACTTAAAAATGTGAATTAAAAAATGTGAACTTCACTCAAATAATTATTCATGTACATGTATTTATATAAAGTTGAATCAATTCGTAGTATTAAGTGGTCTTTATTTGTTCCTTTTAAATAAAATTTCAATGAAGTAATTATTAATGTATTTGCATTACCGTATGTGTCTAAGTAATCGCATGATAAACCGATTAGGCCATATGTGTTACATAAGCTGCAGAATCCGTAGTTATATTACATGACTGCTGATTGTTATGTACAGTGTTGTGAGTGCCTACCATCGAATCAAATGTTCTGTCGTGTTTATTGGTCAATGCCCCAAGACTCCCGCACCAATACAACGACATTAGGCTTCACAGTTGTGGATTTTCCTAGCACTTAACCATGCTACATAACAAATCATCTTTCAGAATGATATCATGTATACAATGGGACTATACATGAATTCAAGAAATAAATCCCTTTCATAAAGCAGGTGTTGGATAATTTGACTGAAAATTGCATGCCTACAGCGCATAAATTTATAGACCCAGAAAAGAAATTCACCAAATCAGCATGATCTTCACTGACTTTCGTGAGTCAGGTGATATTTCTTTCATGATGGCTCAGTCCACAGAGACCTTCATGGAACTTCTAGGACAGTAATTACAGGCACACATGCACACTTCATTGTTATCCATGCATAGTATGTTCTCACTCCAGTCAGTCCACATGACACCGTGGCCCTGCTTGTCACAGAAGTCTGAATCAGCGGGGCTGTAATAGCAGCGAGAATGACTAATAGATACGCGTTCTGCTTGTAGAGATGTATGCAAATAGAAAGCAACTATTCGCCATGCTCTTAAAGCGCATGCTGCTCTAAAAGCTTCACAATGCAACTGATTCCATGGCGTGTATCCACTGTTGACATGTATCTATTTGCTATTCGTAGCGTATTCACATGGTGCTTAGAATGGAAATGGTATGCGCGTCTAACTGAAAAATAGGCGTGTATCAACACATATTGTAATGTAAGATAATCAAATAGTATGAAGAAACCACATTTGGTAGCCTAGCTAAAACAACATGTAGAAAAGATATTGCCAGTCTGTGGCAATTTCAAGACATAAACCATACTCATTCTCTTTAATGTGTTACTGGCCATGCTGCCTTGATAAAGGTTTAACTTTGATGCTCCACATAACTTATATACGTACATGTATATGCATTACATAGGCAGCACTGGGCATCCACCATAGGGTCACACTGAGGGCAACATCTGTTCACGGCCAATGACCAATTCTGATTTCCGACATTAGATATAACAATAGACCTATTCATATCCGTATTGATCTGTTATTGATGCTGTTAATAGTGAGTGACATTGTGTCAAGTTATTATCCCATATAAATATATCACAACACCTGACAAAAACTTAGTTTTATTCGCAAATAACACTCTGCGTCTCACAGTCATACTGTGATATGGGAAGTATTTATGTCTATTTGGACATCTGGGTCAAAGTCAATTTTAGACTATAAAATCGTCGGGAAGGAGTAATTTCCGGGGGTACGGCTTGGTGAAGTGTCAGTATACTCACCTTCAGTCAAAGCCTTACACAGCTCCTTGTCTGGTATATCCTCCTCATCAACAAAGCAGGCTTTGGCCATTCTCAGCTCTGCAGGTTATCTCCCTTTCCTAGAAAGAGGCAGAGAAAATTGTCACTAGCATGCGAGAACTGATACGTCTACATACAGTCAAGCCTTGTTATTCTGAACGTCTTACCAAGAGGGCGTCAAGAGTCAGCACGACTCATTTCACAAAGGATGTTCCATCTTTGTCGGTTACAAAATTGTCCAGTTTAACGAAGGTTCACTGTAATATCTACCAGGATGCTGCTAAGAAGACTACGATGACATACAACAGGATGAGAGGGGTCATGCCACATGCACAGTAGTTCCAGGTGTAGAGCCCGACAAATCAGTATTTCACAAACATGGAAGCAGATATGTGACCTTGTGGTTCTGCATCAAGGGTCATAGATCTGATTCATATCTACATGTGCACTTGATGTACAGTCAGAGAATGTTGGTCCCAAACACACATAGGGTCTTCCCGGACGCAACATTTTGAGTCCTACACGCAAAAAAACTTGAGAATTGACAGTGTTTCCTAATGAATGCAAAAGAAAAAAGTATGTCTGTCTGAACCATTTAAACCAATTTAGTTAATCCACGGTAGCCAGATAGCATAACTGTTCAAAGCTTCACATGTACTGAAACATACCATCTCCATTTTCTAAGGGTATCAACCTGTTTAAGAAATCCCTTTGGTCATATCCCAGATGTGTATCAATACGTCTTCAGACAGTTCATGGGTCGTTCCTGCTGGGCCATCACCAACAAACAGGGTGACATGTAGAAAACCGAGAACCTGCTCAGCGCGTAATTGCTCAATAACTACTCTTTCTATTATCATAACATTGCCTGACGTCACCTTGTTAGTTATAGGGTACTACTATTAGTCAGCGATAGAAATTGGTACTAGTTTGTTTGATTGTTTGTTGTTTAACGCCGCATTCAGCAATATTTCAGCTATGTGACGGCGGTAATTAGTGCTATTCATATAATCCTGAACTGGCCAAAAGTAACATGGTATCAGAAGGATGAGAAGAAATGGGCCATTTCCATTATAAGGACTCATGGACTAACAATGTTAGTTTCTATCGCTGTTAGTCACATGTTCCATCAGTGTCACAGAGGTCTGTAGAAACTCGAACCCTGGCCAGGTAAACCAGAGGATGATAGCATGAGCAACCGCGTCGTCGTGGTATGATGGCACATGATTAGATTGAGACGTCATTGGTCGGCTCGTACGACAAGCACAGAACACTGCTGACATTGCCGGGCCCGGAACGTCCACGGGGAACGGGCGTTTAGAACCAAACTTGAAAACGTAATGCATGAACTAAAGGCTTCATTTGAGGTTACCAGCATGTAAATATAAACTGTATAACAAAATGGATTGATCAGGTCTCGGTTGCGATTGAAGTGTTTACGATCATAGATACAGTGAAATGTAGTGATATACAATGACACTTGAGCGAAATCAAAAACTGGTAAACTGAGCTATGTATTCCAGGACTGGCTGGATATAAACAGCGGGCATTACTCACTCCCCACCCTTATTAACACATACGTGTACACTTTATGAATTATTAAAATATATAGATATGAACATCACTGATCAGTCTCCAGCCCCAGCCCCAGCCCCAGTTCCAACCCAAGACCCAACCCCAACACAAGACCCAACTCCAACCCAACCTAAGCCCCAGACCCAACCCCAACCCAGCCCAAGCCCCAAGCCCCAACCCCAACCCAACCCTAGCCCCAACCCAACACCAACCCAGCCCCCAACCCAACCCAAGCCCCAGCCCCAACTCCTTGAGATATCAACTGTGTATAAAGTAAATCATGTCTGTTTTATTCAAGATAGTTGTCAATAAAGTGTATATGCTGCATGGACGTATGAATAAATGTTACCTGTCACACAAAACGAAACTGATAAGAAATCAGGTCTCGGTTGCATGTGAAGTATTTACGACCATAGCTACAGTGAAATGTAGAGATTTACAATGATCCTTGAACGATATCAAGACCGAACTCGTACTGTAACCTGGGGACTGGCTGGGTAAACAGAGGGCACCGCCCACACGCCCACACGCCCACGCTTGGTGCACATGCTTCACGTTATACACTGTACATACATTTTGATTATTCTTTGTCAAAGAATCTACTCACTTCAAGTAGCTTATGTCTGCCCTTTCACTGAAACACGAGCCTCTCTCTTGAGTGCTTCTACACTGGATCATCCCACGTCAATTGTGCTGGGTTTTTTCGTTTTTGAGCATGACGGTTCATATCCTTGTGTTCGGAATGTTGTAAAACTTAAACCATCAATATCAACATACAGTAAACTACGTTTATAACGAATACGCTTATAACGAACTGGCGGATATAACGAACTGTTTTTTGGTCCCAGCCATTTGCTGTATATATGTTTATAACGAACTACGGTTATAACGGACTAAAATTAGTGGTCCCTTTAAGTTCGTTATAACCGTAGTTTACTGTACATACGTCGGGTCCAAACACAGTTTTGAATACCTTCTCTACATAGCTGAACATGCCACCCTATAGCAGCCAAGGTCCAGGCCCTGCCCTTGCCTAATATATACCAGTACTCCACATTGTTACCTAATATGTACTCCACATTGAATGCAGCTTATGACATAGCATAGTAGACGTGCTGGGTGGTATTATTGGTAATATATGAAGGATTTCTTTGGAGACACGGGAAAGCATGTCCCATCAATACACGAGGTCTACTCAAGCCACGTTTTTATTTGACGCATGGCATGAGTGTGCCTTTTGACATAACACTACAAGCAGGGGGAATACCTGCCCTGCATTAAACAGGTCCGTTACGCTAAGCTGTGAAAGGTTTAAGTGAACGACCGTCAATACTGAGTATTAACACATTAACACGCACACACAGGTGAAAGACATGGTGTGGATGCAAGAATTACATTGATATAATATTATCACATAACACATGTGTTGATATAGATATATTGATTTGGGACACTTACATAGCGTGGTCTACAATGAATAGAGCGGCATTTCATGTATGTTCCATTTTGTCAATACACTGAAACGAAAACACGCCCTATTTATTCCCATCGACCGCAAACACACATATTCCACATCTAAATAGGACAGATGTAATGATGATTCAAAGAGAACGCAGTTCAAAAGGTAACTGACACTGATACACATGGACATTAAAGAAATATCCCCCACAAGAAATGGGATGCGCCTAAATCGTATAATTCACGCTTCCTATTAAGTATCTTTATGGAATCCTATATGTTATTAGTAATGAGCCAAAATTAATATGTGTGGCATGTATCAATTAGCATTACGAAAACATAGTACAATCAAATCTATTTAACCCATACGTGTATACATTTGTTACATGCATAGGCTAAACATGATGTGAACTTTGATACGCGACATTAACTACTGTACATATGGTCATAAGAATCATAGTTCCATTCCTAACATGGGTACAATGTGTGAAGCCCATTTCTGGTGTCCCCCGCCGTGATATTGCTGGAAATGCGACGTAAAACCAAACTCACTCTCTCACTCATAAGAAAATACATACCGAACGTTACATTACACAGAGTTCAGACGTGATTGAAATATCAACCATCGAATACTTTATTCTGGTTGAAGAGTTATCATATAAACATTCTTATTCAAACCATAGTGTTCACAGTTGATTATTTCTTTTCATATCAAATCCAGTTGCGTCTCTTGGGCACGCCAGAAACATATCATTGTGGGTTCGAATCCCAGTTCGCCCCGATGATCTTGTCTGTACCATACCCGTGTTCGTGGGTTTAACCAAAGTGGTAAACGTCTGAGACCTGCATCACTTCGAGCTTTCCTCCCACATTAAGCTGGCATGTCGTGAAATAACTGGAATACTGTTAAAAGCGGCGTTAAACCCAACTCACTCAGTCGTACCCCATCCACACATGGACGACGAAAACCATTACTGTACCTTGCCGTCATATGACATATGGACAATAGCGTCAATGTCTATCACTTCACAGAAGGACGGGGAGGACATCCTATAATTGTCCTTGCACCAGTTCTCAAATGTTCTTCGTACCATGTAGGTTTTCATAAAAGGATGAGATGTAAATATGCACTCAATCAACGGGGCGTACAAACAGTAATACCATGCTATTGAATTTATGGGGTGTCGAATAGGACAGACATACAAATTTGAACCGCTCTATTTAGCTCATTGCATATATTATCCATACAAGGTACCGTATTTGATGTGGTAAACAGTTGTTCAACATTGCTGATTTACATCTCTGCACCATGTAATTAAGGTTATTACGGTAATAATTCAAGAAACGTTGAATCGATCCTACGTCATATTCAAGCTCAATAAATATGCTCCTGTATTCGTCTTCTATTTGTCATACCGAAGTATACCCTTTTCGTGAACCCATGTTGTCAACACTGACATTCATATAATTTTCACCGGGTTTTTTTTGCGTTTCGTGCCCAATGGAATATTTTTCGGTGGATAATTGGTAGTCTCTGGCGTTGATGTTTTATATATATTGTGTGAGCGTTTTTCTTGTCAAATCGACTTCGGAAAACAGCCAATAAATATAATGCTAAGATGTATTCCCACGATCGATGCAGTCTGAAACATTGATCAATGATGATAAGATCTGGTCGATAACTTTCAAAGGCCTGTGCCGTTGGTGAAAAATACATGTGAACGTTTGAACTACAGATGATATATACAGATTATATATACACTGGTATAAATACCCTTTAAACTTTTAATTCTGTCATGGACCTCGATGAATCACTTTAAAGTTCAGCTCCGTAAAATGTCAAACTCAAATTATACTCCAGAAAGTATGTTAAGTACATAAGTGAGAAGAATGTTGCGAACCAGTAGAATCATGATGGTCATGTACATAAAACTATTTCTTGCTTTAAACTACTTTACATTTCCTTTCGGTAAATGCATGAACAATAATGATCTGACAGTAACGAATCAGAAATATATGAGCCAAATTAAGCAGAATGAACTAACCT